TGTGGCCTGTTATGCTAATGAGTTCCTGCTGTGATTTTTCAACAAAAAGAGCCCTGCTCCCATCAATGTACTAACCAGGGCTGACCCTGCTCAGCTTCCAAGATGTGGCAAGTCTGGGCCATCCAGGTCAGGGCAAGGTGGTGCTGCTGGTGGTGGAAAATGCCATCCAGTTGCAGCCAAATGATGGTGACCTCATAGGCAAGAGGCATTCAGAGGTGGTTTGCCATGGCCTGCCTCGGCATAGTGACCCTGGACTTCCTTGTTGGCCTCCCATCCAAGTACAAACCAGGGCCGACCCTGCTTAGCTGCTAAGCGCTGAGGAGATTGGGCTACCCTGGGCCATCCCGGTCAGGGGTTTATTTTAGTCAGGGGTCATTTCATAGAAAAAGAGGTGCAGGAGCTCATTAGCATAACTTATTTGCATATGCCACGCCCCCTGACATCACCGGAAGTGTGTCAGAAGGCAACACCCACCGCTCAGGCTCCACCGGACTGTTTTGGATTGCTAGCTATTGGGGGGGGGGGCATGCAGATCTGTCCTCGCAGAGGAGGGAGAGCTTGTACCTGAATAAAACTTTGTCGTAAAGGTGCCACTGGACTGTTTTGGATTGCTAGCTATGGGGGGGGGGAACACGCAGATCTGCCCTCACAGAGGAGGGAGAGCTTGTACCTGAAGGCGGGCCGGAGGGGGAGGGCTCTGCAACTTACCTGGCTGCTTCTTGCTCCTCGTGGCCCGACTGAGGGCTGCTGGGAGCAGGGGGCGGGGCTTGTTGCATGTGCCCGCCCCCTGGGCTCCTTACTGCCGGAGCTCCGCTCCTGTGCACTCCCACAGGAAATGACCCCTGATTTTAGTAATTATTTTAATACTAATTTTGCACATCTTCCCCTATGGGGCCTTAATAACAACTATAATAACTTTTCTCTCCAGCTGTCACTGTATGCTGGATCCTGTCCCTGGTTGTCTTTTTCCCGCCATTTATTTTTGCTTTCAGTGCTTCCTTTTAAAACATTCAGTGAGCACCTGTTTTTCTTCTCATATGCTAAAAACTGACCATTAGAAAAGGAGTCTATTGTGGCCCGATTCCATGCCCCAACCTGCTTCCAAAACCAATACCAGGACAGCTTCTGCAGCAGAAATGAATTGCCAACTTTTCAACTTGCCCCTGAAACTGCAGTTAAAGTGGCAGACAACGCTGGTCTTCACAATGTGATCATGCTCCAGTTAGGCAGAGCAGCAGAGGCTGGTTAAAAAGTTGGCAACCCTAGCATTCAGTCATTTGTACTAGCGGAAGAGGGGTGTGTGACCAAGTGAACCAGTGTGGAGACCCAGTGTGGTGAAGAGGTTAGGAATGTCAGACTATCTGTAAGACGCAGGTTCGAATCCCCATTCATGTCATAGAAGAACCCTGGGCAACATTGGGCCAACCACACTTTCAGCCTAACCTACCTCACATGGCTGTTGTGAGGATAAAATGGAGAACAGAAATATGTAAGCCGCTTTGGGTTTCCATTGGGGAGAAATAATAAAATAATAAAATAAACAAACCGTAGATGGGAGTACAGATGTATTAAAGACAGTCCTTGTCTTGTCTGTGAAATTTTGACAGATGAAGACAATAATTATAATAATTCCAGCCAAAATATGGGTGGAAAATGGGGTGAGCAAAAGAAATTAAGGGATACATCTAGGGTTGTAAACAATGTTCCCTCTAAGCTGAGTTAGTGTGAGCTAGCTCACACTAACTCAGCTTAGAGGGAACACTGGTTGTAAACATCTTTTTAAAAAATAAACTTTTCCTAGTCAGTCGGTACCTTTATTGGCATAAATTAAAATCAAACAAAACCAGTATTTAAATATACTGAGTACAATAAAAAAAATCAATCGACTCTCCATAACTGATCTTATATTCACTTACTAATCTTATTTAAGCATTAATTAGCTACAGCCTCAGACACAGGGAGCAGAATCCACTCTGCAGCTCTCTCGGCTCTCAGTAACTGGCTGACAAAACCAGTATTCATCACTGGATTGACTGTTTACACGTTCGCAGAAATTTAGAAACAGCAGATGAACCCCTGTGGTTTCAAAGTTTAACAGTTTCTATCCCTACGTGGATGCGAGCAAACACAGTGGCATGCACTTCGCGTTTCAGACGCGCGCAGTTCAATCCGTGCACGTGGCTGGTCTCCCAACCACAGGAAATGCAGCCCCGAGCCCTGCTTGGGTTTGGGACCAATGTTCCCTCTAAGCCAGGGGTGTTGAACTCATTTGATATGAGGGCCAGATCTGACATACATGAGATCTTGTTGGGCTGGGCCATGTGTGTCTTCATCGGGCATTGCAGGCTGTGGCTGGTTGGCTCAGGCTGAGTCGGCTGAAGTCGGGTCAGTTGGGGCTCCCTCTCCTGGCCTTCGACAGGCGCCTTTGGTGCCGGCGCCGGGGGTTAGGAGCTTGGGGGTGCTCCTGGACTCCTCTTTAACGATGGAAGCCTGTCAAGTCAGCCTTTTACCATCTGCGGCTGGCATGGCAGTTGGCTTCCTACCTTCATCGCGATGACTTGGCCACAGTGATCCATGCGACGCGAATTTTTGCGCACAGGACTCCACAGCTTAAAGGGAACATTGGTGAGCACCGATTTTAAATGTAAATGTAATTGACTGTTTTATTTGGTTTTTTATGGTTATGTATGGCAATTTGCCTCTTGTTAGCCGCCCTGAGCCCATGTTGAAGGGCGGGATATAAGTCAAATAAATAAATAAATAAATATAAAATGTCATGCCAGGTAGCGGAGATATAAACTTTATAAAGGACACAAACACAATGGTTTTTTTAAAAACTTAAAATAAAAACATGCTTAAAACATTAGCACTCCTGCAATATTTTGTTTATTTAAGAGTGTCTGATAACTGACACCTCTTGCTCTGCATTATTGCATCAAAATGTCTGTGCTGTTGCAATCTTGGGTATGGTGTTCAGGTGAGTATTTGTAAGCTGCCAACCTACCATGATGCAGCAGCAGAACTGGAAGAAGAAGCGGAAGACAGCCAGTTCCACGGGCCTGAGAGAAGCCCTCTGGGGGCCTGATCTGGCCCCCGGGCTGCATGTTTGACACCCCTGCTCTAAGCTGTGGAGTCTTCTGAGGAAAAAAATCCACTTTGTGAGCTACTGGCATTCAAGTTGAGGGGGAGCGATTTGCCTACTGCATAAAAGACTTTGCTTTGGAGCTGTCCTTCCTGAGCGAAGACAAAAATGTGTGAGCCAGAGGCTAAAAAACTGCGAGCTCTGCTAGCTCACACTAACTCAACTCAGAGGGAACACTGTTTGGGACCAATGTTCCCATAAAAGAAGTTTTGGGGTGCTCAGTTCCAGATGGGGGAAGCAAAAGCCTGCGCGTGACAGCAAAAAATAAGCAGGAATCCTGATAATATCCCAATGGACAAAGTCCCTCCCACCACGTTCAACGCCTCCACCCGTCTCTGCAAAACCGGCTCTCCCTTTGCTCCGCGGGGGAAGCGCGCCTGCGCCTTTAAGAGGCCGGCTGGGCGTCCCCCCCCCCCCCCCCCCCCCCCCCGCTCGGCTTCCAGGCCAACCCATAGCTCCGCCCAAGAACCGTTCTCTAACCTCTGATTGGCGAGTTACTTTTGCGCCCGAGTCCCCCCTCCCCTTCCAGAAGGAACCCTCGCTTGATGCGCTCGCAGGACTCCTCACAATGCTCTGTCTCCTGATTGGCTGCCTCGTACCGAAAGCCGATGACTCCGCCTCCTCGCTTGGGAAACTACCTTCCAGCTCCCCCCCCCCCCACCAATGGCACATTTCAACCGGGCCGAAATTGGTTCCCGGTTCCCGGGGAGCGGGGGGGGAGGGCATGACCGGTGATCCAGAGGGGGGATCTGCTTGGAATCTGGGGACACAGGAGGCCTGGAGGGGTGAGTACCTTGCTTAGTGACTCGTGTGATCTGGTTGGGGAAGGAGGTAGAAATCTGGGCGCGAGCAGAGGCGCTGGGATCGGGCTGGGGTAGTGGGATCGAGCATTGGTGTCACTGACACGCGTGAACACATTGCCTCGCTTTGACTCTGCAGCCCCAAACGAACCAGTATGACACAATGAGGGATTTCTGCTAATTGCGGTTTGCCGGGTTTGAGTCAAGGGCTTTGTGCAAATTGCAAATCATGGCAAAGGAGAGGGGGGGGGGCAAGGGGGGGGAAAAGGATTCCCTTGCTCGAAAGCCAGTCGAGTCCGACTCTAGGGTTGCGGTGCTCATCTCCGTTTCCAAGCCGAAGAGCCAGCGCTGTCCGAAGACGTTTGGTGGGGGTAAACGGGTGGGTGTGGGAGATGGGATTTTCCTAAGTCTCAAATCAGCATCTCTTTGGATTTTTCAGAACTAGAGGGCTGAATTGTTCGTCTTTAAACACTTCGCCGTCTCGCAGTGCTCTGCAAAGGGCATCCGAGGACTTTGGATGTCACTCCACACACACCCAACTTCCAGTGAAGCAATCTCAGTTCTCTCTTTGTCGGGGAGCAAGTGATGGAGGGGGATAGTCAGATAAATGGCCTTTTGTTAGGGCTCACCAGAGATTCCCAGTGTAACTGACGTGCGTGCTTTTGAGTCAACACAGATCTCTTAGTCAGGCGGGATGTTTATAATAACACTGGGGGGGGGCTACTTTGCCAGATGGGCTGAGAAGACGGTGAAGTCCTTTTATAGCATTTACCTGCTCTCAAGAGAAAATTTGAACACTCGGCAGAAACCTAATTAATGTTACTCTCCTATAGCAAATACCCATTTTCTCCTACAGATCTTTGTAAATGGGACCCTGGAGTCTTCTCCCTTTTGTCTGCATCAATCAGACAAAGCTATAAAACACAGATCATCGTCCTCTCTTTTTTTTATTGTCCTAATTTATTTGGAGAGAGCCCTGGATAATTGGTGCCGTACTTTGCAAGACAGACTGTGTTGAAATATCTTTCCAAGGTTTGGGGCACAAGAGGCTTTTTTGCGTAAAGCCCTTTTCCTTTCTCCCACCCTGTGAAGAAAAGCATTTCCCAAACCCTCCATTATCTCAGTGGGTTCTAAAAAAACAGAAACCCATCTGCTTTCAGACTGAGCAGCAAATGCTGCTTTTTACATCCAACTCAAGCCAGTCAGTGGACCTGACTGACCCCAAACCCCACAAAAATGGTTATTGGCTGCCTTCCCTGGTTTTGGTGTTTTGTGTTTATGTTCAGATATTTTCATGCTTGCCACCTGGGGAACTCATCTTGGGTGGAAAGGTGGCATTAAGTGTTGGAAATAAATAAAGCTCTGATAAAGGTGTGTTTAAAAGTATACCTCCGTGAGCGCAGAGGGGCTGGTTTGAATGTCCAGATTAGAAAGAAATGGCTTGCTAAGATTTAGGATTTATCCTCTTTGATGCTCTCCTTTCCCCTGCCAACCTTCCTGAAAGGCATATTGTCTTTGATTCCCCCCCCCCCTCAGCCGTAATGATTTCAAGAAGGAAATCAATTGCTAGCTCAGCAGGGGGAACATCCAACACCCTGATCTCTCTCATTTGGCTTCTGCTGACACGTCTTCTTCCCGAGATGCCTTTGTCAGTTCTGCATCGTTTTAGATCTACGTCTTTGTCCTCCATCGAATGCCTCTCTGCATGTCTCTCTGTCCCCGTCCCCCACCCCCGCGCCCCAATTCCTAGGCTTACAATGGCTTCTCTCATCCAGATAGTGTGTTTGTTTCTGTATCCGTTCCCCCCCCCATCTTAAAAAAACACTGTTTCTGGACCAGATGTCCAGCAGAAGGAAAAAATCGTTTGAACCCTTAATTTTTCTCTTCCCTGCCTCTTTCTGTTTCCAAGCCAGCGTGGGTTCTGCTCTGGAAAAGGGTGGGAGGAACCTAAACGATGCCTGAAGAATTGGCCAGTCTCTATTTTTGCCCTTAACTTGCAGAGTTTATTCTGCATTTCAAAAATTGTTTTGTTATTTTTACCATTCTGCTTTACAACAGAATAAATCTGCTGGGCTTTAAGGTGCCAGCTGGGCCCCTGAGTTAGTTTGCTAGTCAGGGTAAATACAGGCTTGCCTCACTGGGAACCTTCTCCAGCAACCCTGCCCAGCCATTCGCTTATTGACTTCATCCACACCCCCACCTCCCTTCTCAATAGGGAACCAAAGCGACTTGGGACATCATTCTCCTCGTCTCCATTTTACCCTCACAACAACCTTATGGGGTTCTGTCATTCAATTTCCTTGTCTGATGAAGAGTGCTTTGCACACAAAAGCTCACACCTTGAATAAAACATTGTTGGCCTTAAAGGTGCCGCTGGACTCTAACTTTGTTCTGTTATGGGGTTAGGTTAGGCTGGGTGTGACAGTGGGCCCAAGGTCACCCGACCGTCGTTTGCGGCAGAGTGGTGATTCAGATCCAAGCCTCCCGGATCGTGGTCTGACATTCCAACCACCACACCAGCCAGACACTGAGCTATTTTAAAAAAATGGAAACTGGCAATCTCAGGAACTAAATTCTGCCCTTGAGTAGAATTGCATCAGTGCCCCTGCGTTGAGTCAGACCGTTGGTTCACACCGAGCCCCTGAGATGAGGGGCCACTTCTCCAGCTAGCTTTTCCATCATCATCTGACCTTTCCACTAATGGGCAGATCCAGAGGGACAGCTGTTGTTTTGGTTTATCGCATAATTCACCTGCAGCCGCAAAGTCCGGAGAGCCAGTTAGGCGTAGTGGTTAAGAGCGTGGACTCTAATCTGGGAGTTAGATTCCCCACTCCTCCACATGCAGCTGCTGGTGTGACCTTGGGTCAGTCACGACAAGTTCTTTCAGAGCTGTTCTCTCGCAAGCAGTTCTCAAAAGAGCTCTCTGAGCCCCACCGACCTCACAGGGTGTCTGTTGTGGGGAGGGGAAGGGAAAGGAGATTGTAAGCCACTCTCAGACGCCTTTGGGTAGTGAAGGGCGGGGTATAAATCTCTTCCTCCTTTTCCTCTTCTTCGTCTTCTCACCAGCTTATCTACTACAGCCCCCACCCAGCCATTTGTTCTTGCTCAGGAGTCCTTCATGGCTGCCTCTGGCCACCACACTCTTACTACAGGGTTAGGCTTAAGGTCATTGCAGAGTAAACCTGCTGCTCTCCTGGCTTTTCCTCTTCTTCGTCTTCTCACCAGCTTATCTACTACAGCCCCCACCCAGCCATTTGTTCTTGGAGTCCTTCATGGCTGACTCTGGCCACCACACTCATACTACAGGGTTAGGCTTAGAGGTAGTTAGGCCCCAAGGCCATTGCAGAGTAAACCTGCTGCTCTCCTGGCCAGGAATGTTGCCTCCCTCGTCCTCAGGAACAGAATCAGAGAGTTGGAAGGGACCTCCAGGGTCACCTAGTCCAACCCCCACACCCAGATGACCAAAAAAAAAACCCCTCCAGGACTGCTTCCTGACCCCAAAGTGGCAATCAGCATTTCCCTGGGCGTGTAAGAAAGCACCACAAGAACTAAACACTGAGGCAGCCCTTCCTGCCCTCGTGATCTGCCTAAGTTCACACAATCAGCATTGCTGCCAGATGGCCGTCTAGCCTCTGCTTGAAAACCTCCAAGGAGAACCCAGGTCCAAAAACCCTTCCTCCTGCCACAACCACTCCCTGGATACTTGGCTTATTCTTGAGTAAGCCTTTACTCCTGAGGGGGCTGGTGCTGAGCGCCATTGCCCCTGCGTGCCCCTTAGCTGATCCCAGGACCCAGGCCTGCCTTCTACTCCTCTGGGTAGCTAAAGGACAAACACTCTTGGGGTTGTTCTCAGGCCTCCTCCACTTTATTCCTGGACCTGGGTTACTACAGGTTGTCTCTACTCCAGTTGGTGGCAGCTTTCCAGAGTCTTGGGCAGAGAAAGGTGTCAGTTGACAACCCGATACCTGAGATCTTTTGACTGGAAATGCCTGGAATTGAACCCAGGGCCTTCAGCACGGCAAAGCAGGAGTTCTGCCACTGAGCCATAGCAGAAAAGCAAGCTCAAAGCCATCCGTGACGACCTCCTTATTCTGGAGGTCTGGTTTCACTTTAAAAGTGTTCTTTATTTTCTTTTACTGGGTATATACGGCTGCCCACAGGAAATTTTAAGGATTTCCAAACCTTTATGATTTTACTGTTGCTTTTTTTAATTTGGTAGACCGAGTTCAAGGCTTACAGGGATCTATGTGGTTCTGGGAAGTATTTCATTCAGAGCTGGTATAAACTTGGATGAAAGAGGATTTATTCAAATAACTACTAAATATGAGGGTTGTACAATGTAACTAGTAATGTATAAATGATGAACAATTGCTTTGGTATCACACAATCTTATCCCTCACTGACAGGGATCTTTCAGGTAACTTTGTAACGTTTAACTCAAGGTCATATATGTTCACTGTTTCTCTCCAGTTTATCAGGGCATACAGCCTTTCCTATAACTTGTCTTCAATTAAACTTTCATTTACTTTTTCCTATACACTCAGCTTTCCTTCTGTTTCTCACTCTCACTAAACTAACTCAGTTGACAGCTTATAACTGCTACCCCAAGAACTAACTTATCAACTGTCAAACCTGTAACTGTAAAACCTGACTGACATACATACTCATCCACTCATTTTCACTTCCAAAACCCCTCCCCCTCTCTGTCAACCACCAATCATACCATACTTGACTCTCTCAACCACTCTAGTCTATCACAGCCATGCAACCAAACTTTTAAAGAGACACGCACACACAGAAACAAGGAATCGTTACACCATCCTTTTATCAAACATGGAAACTGCACTCTGACCTGGATAGCCCAGGCAAGCCCGATCGTGTCAGATCTTGGAAGCTAAGCAGGGCCAACCCTGGCAGGTTCTTGGAAGGGCAACCTCCATGGAATACCAGGGCCGGGAGGCAGAGGCAGGCTAATCAAGCCACCT